TGTATCTTCTCCCTCTCCTCCTTTTTTAAAAACATTTCTCTGATTCCTAAGGTATAATGCCTATCATAGGACATTTGTAAAATGAAGATTGAAAAGAAAAAAAAAATAGTTTCAACATGTCTAATCCTTTAGTGTGTTTCTACATATTTTATTCTACTTCTATGTTTTCAAATCCTTAAGAAGATGTTTAAGTAATTTTAAATCCTGTAATTTTCACTTACTGAATGAGCCCTTCTCTACATCACAAAAATTTGTTACCATCATTTTAATTGTCATGTGATGTTCCTTCATACAGTTGGCTATATGAAAACTGAAAAGATGTATTTAATAGATAAAAATATATGGCCAACTCCCATATAAGGCAGTAATGGATTGGATTTGGGGGCATGACCTGTATCCATGGCTGGATTTCAATCTTAATTTTCTTCTTTATCAAATGAAAAATAGAGGGCAACTATGTCCCAATTCAATCGATGAAAGGGAATAACAATATTAATTCCCAGAGCTGAAGTGAAGGTCACACCAGTTACTATTGCAGAGTTTGGAGGAAAACGAATATCACGTAAATGTTAGTTAATATTACTTACCTACTTTTCTCGATGTTACAACATGAAAATATAATTTAAGAATGCTTTTTAAACATGATAGTTGCATTATGCCACACCACATCCAGGATGGTGTAATAATTCATGCTCCTTCACACTCAAGATGACATCCTTCTATCACACCCAAGTGAGCGCTGAGCATTCTCATTCTTTACATTTAATTAGGTAGTCAAATAGGGAACACAGCATTACATTACTTTTTTTATCGCATATATTTTAGTATAAATGAGGCAAAATATTAATGATTATTTTTAGCTATTTAATTCTCATTTTTTTTACAAACTTCTTGTTATTCTTTTTGTCCAGTCCTTAGATATTGAGTGTTTTTTCCAGCTTGTTGTAGAGTTTGATTTTTAATTTCTCTCATAGGTCTTTTACTATATGGAAGATATTATAGTTATCCAATCAAATCTGTCATTCTTTACTTACATGATTTTTTTTTATTACCTCTAAAACATTCAGTAGTCAGTGAGATACTTAACAATATATTCCTTATTTTGTGGCTTTATTTTTTTTACAATTAATTTTTAATCTATATTAATTAACATGCTTGGTTGTTATAAAGATATAGTCTAACCTACTTTTCCTAAATAGCTACTATTTCTCTGTAACTGATTAGCTTTACAGTTCATTAATACCTTAGTTGTAATGTCTCAAGTCCCCGACGAGAACTCAGTGGAAAATCTAACTCAGAAAATTTGCCCAAGTGTGAACACATGCACTTGCACACACGCTCACTCTTCTCTATCCCCACCTTGTTTTCTTTTACTATTCACAGTAAACACTGACATTGCTTTTTCATGTATGTTTGCTTGCTTCTTATTTGACAAACTAAATGATGCATAAAATTCACACAGAGTTTGGGCCCAAGGTGATTATCTAATCCACTGTTCCATCTGCATAATCTTCCATCTTTGAAATGCTTCTTAACTCATGACATCTTGAAAAGTATGCTTAAACATCTGATGTGCAGTCTAGGGCACTCGTTCTCACCTGGAACATAAGAAAAAAAAAAAAAACAGTGATGCCTGGGGACCTCCAGACATCTCCTGTACAGTCTGGGCATCTTGATTACTAAAAAATCTTCTAGGTAATTTTAATGTGCAGCCAAGGCAGGAGCATTAACCTAGAGAACCTATTTGTATACTTAAAAATAAATTGAATATAACTTAAATATATATATTTAACAACAATATGGAAGATAATTAATTATGTGTGTATACAGGTATAGGGTAGGTATAGATAGGCATGTATTTATGTTTTACACATATATATATGTATGTATGTATGTATGTATGTATGTATACACACACATATACACACACATACAAATAGCCACAAACTCCCCTAAATCACCCAATAGCATGAAGTTTTCATTAAACAAAAAGTTTCTCTTTCAAATTTGTGTGCTTAAGGTCAAGTCACAAGCTGACAACTCTCTCTCCAAAGTGTATGAACAGTTGTGTCTTGTATTGCCACTCACCTGTCCTTGCTTATAGATCCCACCTGAGCAAAGTGTCCATTCTTCAGAAGATAATGCACAGAACCCCTACCTAAACATCACTTCAGAGCACTTTCTGATAAAAAAGCTAAGATTTGCCCTCCTGGTGGCACAACAGGTTAGGACACAGCACTGCAAGCTGGCGGCAGCAGCTTCAGTGCAAGTTCGATCCTCACCCCAGAGGTGACCAATATGGCACAGCAGACCTTGCCTGCCCCACCAGTGGCTCTGCTCAGCAGTGTACTTCATCAGTCTGCCTGTTCTGCTCCCCACTCTGTCTCTGGTGAAGCCTCTCACAGCCCCTGGACCTCTGACCTGTACCTCAGTTCTGTATGCATAAATAAATAAATCTTAAAAAAAAAAAAAGCTGCAATCATATTTAAAAAAAAAAGCTGAGATTTGACAGGTGAAATGGTAAGTTGCAGATTACAGGGAGCTACGCTGACTCTCATATAACTAGATGTCAATTGCCGCATTCTCACTAGCAACACAAGTTTGAGTATCTTCTAAGGTTAAACTTCCTTGACGAAAATTGTTAACACCAGTGATTTTTAAAATAGCATTCTCTACAATATTCAATATATAAGTATTTTACTCAGATGTTGAGAAGATAAAACAAATATGCACACATCAAGGGGAAAAAAGAATTGGTATTGAGTTAGGTTTCTCAAGAGCAATGCCAGGAAAGTCATTTCCATCTCACAATCCTTGTCAGGCAAGTAGAGTTGCTGTTTCCCTCACGAGGTACTTCCCAGGGCCACGGACGTGGGCACTGGCTCTGCTACCTGGGCGACACTCCCCACACAGCTGCTGGTTCCCACCACCCTTGGGTTGACAGCTGCCTTCTCAGGGAAACTGTCCACCTGCTCCTGTCCTGAAACCCTCACAAACCCAGTCTCCCCCCACCCAAATTTGCAGTCTCCCAACCCATTAAAGGTCCTTAGGCTGAAAAGTGTGCCCAGCAACCAGTTTTGAGTGGCATCAAGTGGGAGTTAGCTAACCTCTCATAATGGCGCAAGAAAAGAGCAAAATTACAGTAGTCACAGTGTCCACATAGGTCTGATCACTTCAATTCACCCTACTAGGTGTTCAAACATCTAGAGACACCCCAAATTAAAGACAAGTTGGATTTAGGAATGTAGTAGCTGTATGCTCCTGTGTAAATTGCTAACCATCTCTGTGCTCAAGTAATGCCTACCTCAATCAGCCTATAGCCCATCATCATCATCATCATCATCATCATCATCATCATACATCTAAATAATAATTAATAATCAAACATCTAAAAGTTATCTACAGCATCAGAGTCACTGCTTAGTACATGAAAATGTCACTTAACTTAGCTATGTTCACTTTTCCAGGAAAAAATTGCGAATATCTAAAACTAAAGACTACGGAGTCTATCCGTATAAGTACATACAAATGTATGTATACATATTACACATACAGCATATAATTACGCTTTAGCGTACATACATACTTAACATTTTAAAATTATATATATTGACACATACGAACAGGTGTCCATAATAACATACTTGGCTGATGTTTCAGAATCCCTGCCACTGATGCTGGGTTGCCCCATACAGAGAGGAGGTGTGAGGAGAATAGAGAATGCAATGGCAACAGAGTAGCAAGCGCCTGTCCTTACCTTCAGATGGCTGTTCCAGGCTGGGACAGGGACTGGACGGTTTCTTCCTTCACAGAGGAGGCAGCTCAGAAACCAGAAACAGCAGGGCACTGCCTCCCTAGGATTGTATAACTAGAAATGGAAGTGTGGAGTCACAAGTGGGCCGGCAGTGTGACTAAAGAGACAGGGCAACTAGAGAAGATTGGTTTAAAAAAAGGAAGGAAAAGCAGAAAAAGAAAGGAAAAGGAAAAGAGTCTCCCAGCTGGCAGAGGCTGCTGGTGGCACTCTGTTTCTAGGTGGGGGATGGCTGGGCGTCTCGCAGCAGGCTAGGGTGTGGGCCCCTCCTCCACCTGCGCGCCCCACCCGCGAGTTCCTGCACCTACTCCAGCATCCTGGCAGTTGCACGCAGAAAAATCGCCGGTTCTCACCAACTGGTACCCGGTGCGGCGCGGTCTGCTCCTTGTCAGAAGATGCTCTGATCTGGGGTGCTTCTCTTGGGCGGCTGTTCCAGGTCGGGCATTGCTCCCAGTCTGGGAGTGCTCCTGGGAGGTGGAGGCGGCAATCCCAGTCTGAGCTTCTAGGTGGGGGAGGGCCAGGCGCGTCCGGCAGCAGGCTAGGGTGTGGGCTCCTCCTCCACTTGCGCTCCCCACCTGCGAGTTCCCGCAAATACTCGATCTTCCTGGCAGCTGCGCGCAGAAAAATCGCCGGTTCTCGCCAACTGGTACCCGGTGGGGGGCGGAGCCACGGCTCCCGGAGCATTGGGTTGGTGAATAAGTCCACTAACCGCTGGACCTGGAGGTGACACGCCTGTGCACCCTTCAGGTCATCGAGGGCAGCACAGCGGTGAAAGGAGGTGGGGGTCGGGGGTTGGGGTGGGGGGTAATCCAGTGTCCCCGCACAGAGGCCGCCGGCGTCTGCGCTTAAGAGAAGGCAGCTGAGTTGGCCCGAAGCGCAGAGTCCCAAACACCCGGGAGAACCAGGGAGGTGAAGCAAAGGTGAGGAGTGGTGACTGTCTCAAGCACTCGTGCTTGTGCCTAGGAATTCTGTTTAATCTGAGGAATGGGAGGAGTTCTCTGTTGAAAGGTAGTGCTGAATTGAACTTTTAAAATGTTTAGAAAAAAAGGAGAACGGGTTTGTGAATTTTATAGTGTGGTAGAAACCAAGATAACTAAAACATGGAAATAACCTCCGTGTGCACTATAGATTGCATAAAGAAGATGTGGTATATATATAAAATGGAAAACATTCAGAAAATGTACATGTTTATTGAATACTCAAAGGAGCGTATAGTATAGATTATTAAAGTATATTTTAAAATACAAAATATGAAATAAACCCAAAACAAAAGTAATAATATTCATAAGGAACAAAGGAAGAGATTACTATAAAATCCATTAATAATGTCCTATATATTTGTTATAGAAAGATCCCACTTGTGGATTTGTACTTTCAAGTAGATATGTACAGAGCGAAATAAATTCAGTTCCAAAATTCCTTAAACCCATAATCAAAGGTACGTCTGTCATCCTTGGTGGTTGTAGAAGTACAAGTGAAACACTTTTTGCTCATTAATTGAACTCTTACTTGGTCCAAATAATTTTTTCTTATTTGATTAATACATAAATCCAAATAATTATTATTTGGAATGATTATTATTTGTTTTTATTATACCTATTCCACCCAAGGAAACTAACTAGACTTTGGAGAACTTAAATAACTCGCTCATGGTCACACAAACTTGCTGATTCCAAATTCTGTGTATACAATCAACTCTGCTACTTCTTTTTCAGTGGCTAATTTTTTAGTAATGCAATAAAATTTGATGGCAACACATACAAGTGCAATACTCTACATGGGCAACATAACCAGATTTAGCAAATAAAAATGCAGGACCCCTAGTTAATTTTAAATTTCAGAAGTTCATTTCAAAATTCATTCTGTGATTTCAGCTTTTAACTGATACATTTTATTCAGCAACCCTGAAATGCGGGAAGTATAGATTTCAATTAGAAGGTTATCATAGGAATTGTGAGGTGTCAGTGGTAGTGAGTTCAAAGTCATACACCCCATTGAGAGTCCAAAATGACATTTTCTTTTGCCAGTTAAATATGGAATCATGGGCTTATTAAACAACTGAATTGGGATCTCCATTCACTTGCAAAACCCAAAATTCCAGGACTCCCTGTCTAAAAAGCTGCTACTGAGCTGTTGATCCCCTGACTGGCTCTGTGGCCCCTGGGATCATGTGGCATGCTTCTGAAAACTGAAGGGTGACATTGACTGTAACTTGACTATAATTTGGTCAACTCAGTTCTGCCAAAACATTCTACTTATTCCACAGAAATATTACAGAACTAGGGTGGGTAGAGTACACTGGACTATGGTGATGGCACACGGGTGACTTGGTGGTGGGAAACGCATGGGGATTACTGCTGAGATGAAAAAATGCACAAAATGAAGAATGATGTAAAAAATTTTAAATATAATAAAAAAATGTTTCAACAGTTTCTCAACTTAGAGTTTTTATATTCTGCTGTAGTCCTTGCAGCTCTTTATATTTTGACTTTATATTAGACTGCTTTTTAAATTGGACCAGCATAAATATGCAACAGTAAAGTTCTAGGCCTCTGAGCTCTTGCACAACCATGAGATGAAACACTGTGACTATTTTAAAATGTAAATCACATGCCCAGTGCTTTTATTATCTAGTCATTGAAAAAACTACAAAGTCGATTTACTGTGGTAGTAGAATAAATGTTAAGTTTGAGTTAACGTTTTTTTTAATAGAGATAATCATCTGTTTAAAAACCAGTATCTTAGGGTGCTGGGAATCAGTTCCATTGCCTTCTTTGATCCATTCTACTTTTCTGCAACATCACTTTATCATTTTTATTGTAAGAAAAATATTTCTAAGCAATGAAAACACAGCTGTCCATTTCAGCTTTCAGTCAAATACTAAGGAAGAAATTTATTCTGCATAGTTAGGTCAGGTTGGTCACATCTATACTCAGCATGGGCAGACTTTTTTTTCTTGTCGTTATTCTCTAAACAATGCCATATAATCACCACTTGCATAACATCCACATTGTATTAGTATTATAAGTGACATATAGGTGATTCAAAGTATATAGGAGAGCAGGCATACACAGTATAAAAACAGTACATAATTTTATATAAGAGAACAGAGCACCCGCAGATTTTGGTACCTGCAGGAATGGGACTCATGGAACCGTCCTTCACAAATACTGAAGGGTGACTGGATATGAAGAACTTTGGAACTGAAAACTATTAACTTTGTAGTAGCAGTTAGGATTAGACAGACTTCTACACAATCGGCAATATTGAGATGATAAAACTAAGCACCCAGACACATAAGAGATTAAATCCTGGCATATTAGGAGCAAGGATTACTACTGATGTGCTACCTGGAGGACTCTCCTTGAGGAAAATTCTTCCAGATTACAAGGGGGAAAAAAAAACTAAAATTTTTAGCTTGATGTTAAAAATATGGAATGATGAGGAATGAAGAGAAAATAAGAAGAGAAAGAGAAAAAGAGGACAATGGAAGGACCCTATACCACAATGGAGAAAGACAGCAGAGGGAAGTAAATGAGGAGTGAGAAAGTAGATTGAGGCGTCAACATTGGGCACATCTTGCACTTAACTCAGAATCAGGAAACCAGAAGGGATGCCACTAGAAGAATTGAGAAACCAAGACCTTTGACATTCTTACTTCTCTACCCCAGATTCCAGCTGGTAGCTGAACTCAGCAAAAAAGAGTTCAGATCCACAAATCTGGTACCTTCACACATTAGAGCCAGCACTGGTGCTGCTGGTCACTCAGGGAACCAAGATTGGACATCTTTGGGGGAAGTTTGGTGGGCATAGGCATGTGGTACCTCACTTGCTTCCAGAATTTGGAATTCAGGGAACTTTTGCCAGTGAAGTGGGCTTCGCTCCACTTGATGGTCCCCTGCACTTTCAGTAGGTGCTTCAGGGAATCTTGAAGCTCCTCCAGCTGCAGTCCACCTGGCTCACTCAGAGCCTCCATTTCAATAAGAATCACCTTGGAGTCATTCTGGATGAGGGCGCTGTGTAGAGCTATCTCCTGTTCATAAGCAAACTCCTTGCTGTGCTTGATCTGAGGAGTCAGGATGAAAATGTGGCGCCTGCTCTTCCGGATGTTGCTTTCCACAGCAGTGGCTATGTCTAGAAGTGAAAGAACAGAGAAGGCTTCCTGTTGTCATGTTGACAAGGCTTTGGTCATAAGTGTTCTGGACTCCAGAATATAGATTACTATTGTTACATTCTGGTATGAGATTCTAACACTGATCAGTTTCCTTATTCTAAAGAGAGCTGCACTTTCATAGAGACCCCAGTGCATTTATCTCACCTCCTTTACCAGCCGCTATTGCATCCTACAGCTTTGACTTTTCCATATGGATTAGTCCTAATTAAACAGTCCTTTGAATTGAATGTCATGTAGACACTTTATGGGAGACTAAGCATTCATGTTCATTGGTTATGTTGGTTATGTCTCAGAGAAATGGCTTCCAGGTTTTAGAATATGAAATTGAGCTCTCACATGAAAGGGTACAAACTCAGGAAACTATCTTCCTTAAGGTGATTAAAGTGTCTAGGGATGTCCTGGACCCATCTCTCTCCCAAACCATATCCCCTATAGAATCTTTTTGAGATTAAAAATATCCTTAAAAAAAAAAATTCCTTGCCAAGTGAGTGTTTCTGAAGCACCTACTCCATGGTGATTTCAAATAGCTTCTGAGTGAATTTAGGAAGAACGTGTCAGACGGCCAGTCTTTATAGAAGGAGGTAACAACAGGATTAGCGAAATATAACTATAAATAGAAGAACTCAAGATTTTTCTTAGAGAATGATAGCAAAAAGACTGCTAATTCATGTAGTTTGAAATTAGGAAATGAATGTTAAATAATGCCAGAGCAAGACCTTGTATCAGTCAGGATCTTAGCCTACAACTTGACACACCCACAAGAACTGCCCTCAAAGCGCTCCATGGAAGGACAATGTATAAAGATGTGTATAAACTCTTGCCTTTTGCAGGGTTTGGATGGAGCTGGAAGGGATCATTGTTAGTGGAATAAACCAGAAAGAAAAAGAGAAAATATCAGGTGGTTTTACTCATAGCAGAGCATAAGGGACCACGAAAAAAACAAGCGATTGCAATAAAGGAAACACACACAAAAAAAATGAGTAACTATAAACCAGAGACATTTTATGGGGGTGAAAAGGGGAGTAGGATCAAAACTGTGCTGGGAAGGGTGCACAGGACTATGATGATGGAGCATGGGTGGATTGGTGGTGAGAAATCCACAGGGATTACAACCAAGATGAAAAAATGCACAAAATGAAGAATGATGTAAAAAATTAATAAATACATGAAGTAAACAAGAATAAAAATAAAATAAAAGATGTGGTCAGAGCCAAGGGAAATCAATGAGAGATGGTGCAAATCCTACAATGAGTAATATTAGGAGCCACCACTCATGACAGGTGTGAAGAGGAGGAAGCAGCTGGACAATGCAAGATGCCTGAGGAAGGCCAACCCACAGAGATTGGCCTCCAGGAGAGGGGAGCACATTACACTGTGCTCCCACTCAGAGGACATCCATGTGCCTGCCTTCTGCATATCTCCCAGAGCCTCCTATTGCCAACCTCACTATGGACTAGCAGCCTGGGGAACGATGGAGTCCATCAACATCAGCCACTAAATGGAGTGCAGTATAGACTGGGTTTGAAGAAGCAAATGGAACATAAATCACATGGGAAGAATATACTGCACTGATTGGGTCAAGCACTTTTCTAAGAAAAGTGTGTAGTTGGGTTCAATTCCTTTTTATTTTGATTAAGGAAAATTCAAAAGACAAACCTGAGGGAGAGAAGTGAGAAAACTTTCTAAGTGAAATAATGATAAAACAACACAAGCTTGAGCATTAGAGAGTTCGCTCTCAAATCTTGTCAGGAAAAGGGATAACTAGCAATGAAGCTCATGGACCTAAGGAAGAAGAGATGAACTTTTGGCCAGGCACAGCACATGATGTGATATCAGCAGTCATAAGAGCCCCTATAACTTCTTAGCAGACATCCACTCAACTTGAAAGGAGTGTCATGAACTCACTGCTCTTTATTTATAGTGAGCAGAGCTGGGGAAGAAGGGAGGCTCCAGAGAAGATGGGGATTAGCTTTTCCTGAACTGTACATGTTACAAGTCTCTAAGTCATTGTTAGTCCCTCAGCATTACCCAAATATTCCAATGCACACCAAGCTGACTTGTTGTGCATGGCTTTAAATCAAAAGGCTCTTGAATATTCTCTTTTCAGTAGGAATGGCTTTTTCAATGCACAGTTTCATAAACACTTACTTTTGTGCACTTGCACTTGTGACGTCCCTACCACTTTCACATTCTAGACCTTTGCTAATCTCTGAGGAAGTATTACATGGGGGCGGGGGTCTCAGGTTCTTGATAGAATTGGGGAGAGGGGAAGAGAGAAAAACAAGTACTGAAATGCTGAAATTGTAGCACACCTGTCCAATCTACATGAAATTGACTAGAAATATAAGAAAAAAAAAAGTCGTTCCATTTGTCCTTATGAGAATATAAACTTGCAAATGTTTCACCAAGAACGGAAAACCATGAATCCTTCAGTTTGCAATTCCTCCTTCAGATTTTCTAGAGAGAATGAAGAGAAGGCAGAGTTATTCTAGTGAGAGCCATGGGAAGGAGGAGGATGAGTGCCCTCCATAGCCACACATAAGGAAATCACCAAAACCATTGGGAAGACCTCATGAATAAGTGACAGTGCAGCTGGGAGCAGCAAGGAATTAGTATTTCCTATATCTATTTGTGCTAATAAATAAATGCTTTTTTTTAATCCAGTGCAGGGATAAGACGAGCTATCTCTTCCCCTTCTGCTAAATACAAATTTCTGTTCCTGATGTGAGTTGATAACTTACCTTCTCCAGGAAGCAGATCTCTCCCATATATGCATAGGTTGTAGCCATATTTATTTTCAAGAACATCAGGCAGAATCTGGTGGACAAAGCATTCCACATAACTGGCCCCCTCCAGACAGCTATTGTAGTCCCTTGGGTAGATGACATAGGCATCATAGATCTTTCCATCTGAAAATGAAAGCCAGAAGTACTTTATGACTTAGCTCTAAAAATTCTCATTTGATTTTTATTAAACAATCTCACCAAGTTTGATGATAATTGGTGAATGTATCTCCTCTCTCAAAATATCGTAAGAGTTGAGCCACAATGACAAAAATCTGCTGAATTCAAACATCATCAGAAAATCAGTTTTAATCTTAACACTGGCCTCCTATTTACTGTCTCAGTTCTAGTGATAGAGAACAGGCAGGAGCCAGATCAGTTAGACTGAGCCATATTATCAAGTTTGGTTAATACTCTATTAATAAGTATTTACAGTCATAGATACAGCAGATCACAAATTTATCACTTATTTTTCCCTGGGGAAGTGAAAATGTCAGACTAATCATGGTGTTGGAATTAAGACTGAGTTTACACAAATCAAGCATTTAGACCTGATTTGAGTGGAGCACATGGAAAATCTAACATAAATCTGCCTCCTATTTAGCAGGGAAGCTGTCATGTGTGCATACTTACGCACATAACTAGGAATCTAGAGAACAGCATTTCTGATAAAATACAGCTGCATTCTAGTGGATCTTTCTATACTATTCACAGTTGAAAAACAGAAACAATTTTGTTTATCTTTTGAACTCCATAAAAATTTTCCAAACTATTCAAATCTTTTTGAACTTAGGGCACATTATGCTATTCTCCCACTTGGGAGGAATTTGAGTTGGTAAGATGACTCTCAGAACTACTGGAAGTGATAACAGGAATCGGTCAATGGACTCTGAGTAAATTCAAAAAGACTAATGATAATACACTAGCAATCAAAAGAGAATCTGGGTTTAATAGCAGTGCTGTTAAGAAACAAATAGACAAATAACAAATGGACATTTTGGAATCTTTACTTTTGAAGAACTTGAAACTTGTCACTTACCATTCCTAGTTTTGTAAGGACTAATTATGTCTCTCCAGAGAAGAATAATCTCAATCCAGAACAATTTTAGCATTATCATCAAGATATTGATTAGCATTAACAATATGCTAAATCCTATAAGTATGTAGTAGATGTTTTGATGATCAACTATTCAAAAGATAGGAGGAGAAAAAATACCATTATAGTTACTAAAACAAGGTAAAATAAACAAACATGTATATGCTACTTTCTACTGGAAAGCCAGAGATTCATACAAGAAATGCCTACTTTTCATAGCTGCTTTAAGATTTCATGAATTTTTTTTTTTAAGATTTATTTATTTATTTGTGCATACAGAACTGGGGTACAGGCCAGAGGCTCAGGGGCGGTGAGAGGCTTCACCAGAGACAGAGTGGGGAACAGAACAGACAGATCGACAAAGTACACTGCTGAGGGGAGCAGCGGGTGGGTCAGGAGAGGTCTGCCACACCATGTGGTCACTTCCAGGGCAGGCGGGAATCGAACTCATGCAGAAGCGGCTTTATATTCTCAGTGCTGTGCTTTAACCCGCTGCGCCACCAGGAAGGGCCAAGATTTCATGAATTTTTTGGCCCTCCCTGGTGGCGCAGCGGGTTAAAGCACAGCACTAAGAAGCTTAAGCCACTTCCCCATGAGTTCAGTTCCCGCTTGCCCCAGAGGAGCTCTACATGGCGTGGCAGACCTCTCCTGACCTGCCCGCTGCTCCCCTCAGCAGTGTACTTCATTGATCTGCCTGTTCTGCTCCCCACTCTGTCTCTGGTGAATCCTCTCACTCTCCACATCTCTGGCCTGTACCCCAGTTCTATATGAATAAATAAATAAATCTTAAAAAAAAAAAAGATTTCATGAATTTTCATGACTACTTTAAAAATCAGTTAATGAAGCCCCTCTTTTGTGCAAGGAAGGAGACTAGACATTACAGGGGATTCTGAAAGCAAAAGAGACAGAGACACATATAAATTTGAGCTGGGAGACAAAAACATAACTTTGAATGGCAGAGGTGTTTAGAAGCCATGTTTACTCCATGGTAGACCATGCGAGGAAGCCTTCCTATGCAAAGAAGGAGGATTCAGAGAACAGCCAAAAAAGAAGTGTAGTCCTGGTAGGTAAGGATGCTGTGAGCTGAAGGGCAGAGACAGCAGTGTGTATTCTGAGGAACTGGAGTCATCCAATTTGTGGACTACAGGATTAAAGAAGTAGGTTAGGCCTGTGTTCTGATCAGGCTGAAGATCCAACTAAGGTATAATTTCCTTTATCCTGAAGGTCATTGGGCCTTTGAAAAAATATTGAATGGGGTTTTAACAATGAAGGCAGTTTTCAAGCAAGGTTAATCTGATGGTTGTGGATGTGTTTCTTTAGGAAGAGAGAGTGGGTAATAGGTATTGATGGAACAGGATAGTTCTGTGGTACTTGGGTGAGAGATGAGAAGAGTTCAAACTTGTGTACAAATGAGTACAGGATGGACAGACCAGGTGTCAGGGGCAATAAGGAGAAAGATTCAACAGATTTTAGGGACTTACTGCACTGGTGTTTGATGAGATAGAAAAGCAGGGAAAGAAATGTGAGCTTTTATGCCTTGAAGTGATACTTGAAAACGTCAAATTATTGCTTCTAGGTCCTATGAGTACTCTTATTTCTCTTATAGTGTTGTCTAGCTATCATAACATGTTCCTATGCTTATTGCTTTGCAAAATACATGTGCAAGATGATGCCCATCTTCAAGGACTTGTAAAAGATATATATAATTTGAACATAAGAGCTGTGCTCATTAGTAGTATTTTTGACTCTTACTTCCCTCTTTAGAGTTGTTAACTGCCCTATCTTGTAAGTACTCTTTAGAGATGAATGTGAGAACAATCTATGATAGGATTTCACTATATAATTCTCTTGTTGTTTTCATCTGAAATCTCAAAGCATGGGATTCCGGTTTGGGAAGAGGAAACAAATGGCCTATATGTGCAAATTCCTTCACCTCGCACCTTGGGATCAAAAATGACAAGGTGAAGTGATTCAAAGAAAATTGGCAGAGTTCATTTTCTGTGCTGTCATTAGTGTAATGATAATCACTTCAGTGGGATTTCTGTGGGATTCCTCTCCAGTTCATTCTTTCTGTAATTCTTACCTAGTCACATGGGAAGCACCTACATTTCCTGTGGAGATTGTTGTAAAGGAATGATGCATGCAACTGACTTTTCCAACTGGAGAAACGCAGTTAGTACAAGACATGAAAGAAAATTGAATTTCAAGATCTTCTGAAATGTTAAAGACTTTATAAATGTATAAATAGGTATGTGAAAACTACATACTCTCAGTAAGTGCTTAAACCAGAAAAGGCTGCCTGTGTGTTTGAGTTCTGGCACTCTCAATGTACTACCTTCTCTCTCTAAGCCATCAAGACAATAAGATGATAGTAACAGCCTCTTCCTCATGTGTATTGATAAAAATAAATGAGAAATTTAGTTATTTCCTGGTATATAGGAAACAATGAATAACTGTATTATTATTATGAATATCAAATATTTATTTAATAATATGTGGGGAATAAGCTTTTGCTTTTAAAACTCATAACAATGCTGTAACTTCATTTATTCTATGATTAGAAATAAGGGAATTCATTGTGACCATTCAATAGTGATAGCAAAAATTTTTAATTTATACAGTTGTTGAAGCAGAATATAACCATTTTGACTCAAAGGAAAACAGGTGAAAGGTAGTAGATAAAATAATGTAGAGGGAAGAATACACCAAGTGCATGTAACATAAAAAAAATTTCAATACAAAGGTGACCAGAGAACATTTATAAAATCACAGCATAAGCAAACCATGGGGATAAGAATGCAATGGCAGTGCTGATGGAGAGTACGTCCCCTAATTTGGGGATCCACCACCTCTACAAATATGCCTATCACAGCATCTTAGCTGGTTCCACATGTCCTGGTATCACAGTTACGACAGTCAGACATTTGACAGCCCACTGAACAAGAGAGCAGCTAGAATACAATGATTCTGTTTATTTGAGAAATATATTTACAGATCAGTGGTTAAAGTTGAAATGAAGACAAGAAAGTTCCCAAACACCACCTCAGACAGGACTTGGGGTAAGAGATGAGAAGGACTTGGGGTAAGAAGGGATTAGACTTGTGTACTAATCAGCAGTGGGCGAGGGTCAGGGGCACTAGGCGAGTGCCTGCAGGTGATCAGTCTATTCCACATTCCCCATGTGTTCTCATCATGGTGTGCCTGTGTGTTTATCCAAATTGATCCAGCTAGACTGTGCTTAAGGTAGTAAACTAAGAGTTGAACTCTCCCTTTAGTTATTTGGCAAACACCTTCAGTAATACTGACTTAGCTGTAGATGGAATCATAACAACCAAAATAGCTTGTTTTGCTCTCTGTCCTTTTATATGCAATTAACTGCTTCATTGGACACACAGGGTGTCCTTGTTGGAAATGCAGTCAAGTTGGAAATCAACAGGTGCTGAGGAAGGAAGGATTTGTAAAACTACTTTGCTGACATTACTACATTCAGTGACCTCCCACGGGTGGGAGGAAGAAGCAACTGCCATGTGTGCCCTCACTGACTTGGTTCACACCACCTGGAGAGGGGTGGCATGAGAAGCATAACAGGTTTAGATTCTCTGCAACACGTACTCTCGCTGCCAAGATCCAAGACTGACACTCTCCCCACCCTGCCTTCCTATGCACCGATAAATTGTGACAGAGAATTCGACATTTTGAAAAATGATGTAAAGTGTCTGAAATGAATCCACTGAAGAATATTCATTTTCACATTTTCTCTGGAACTATAGTTCATTGCATTGAATTATAGTAAAGGCAATAAACGCATATTAAATTCAGATAGAACTATCAAAAACCTCTAAATAGCTTGGCCTTTCCACTTGTGGGGAGTTGTTCAACTTAATAAACATAAACATAAATTGTTGTAAAACTAAGCCTTATATAGCTAGAAAAGAGAAATATATAAAAATAGTTCTCCTTGATAACTTTGGTGTACATTTATTTATTTATTTAACAGATATTTACTGGAAACATGTGAGGTGTCTGAATTACAGACTGAGGACACAAAGGTAGATAAGAAGCCACCCCTGCCCTCAGGGAGCTTACAGCACGCTGAGTAGACTCGACTCTCAAACAGATTTTTGGGAGTGTGCTGAGTGGTGTGTGGTGACTCTGTGTGGTAACATCGTCGGATTGCTAACTGGTACTCCAGGAAGGCTACTCGGAAAAGGTGGTGCCTGAGTTGTAGGTTGAATAACATGTAATAAAGACGGGAACTGAGCTACCAGAATTCTCATATTCTAAAGTAGCAGCTAAGATTTTCCTATTGGACCAGGCAATTGTTCAATACTTCACCTTTCCATCCACTTTGCTGGCTCTCTACAAAAATGTTGCTTATGACAAAAAAATGATAAAACCAACTTGTTTATATCTTGCTATAAAGGAGATAAAAGTTAACAAAATAACATGTTCACCCATTTACTGTTGGCATGTTTTCTTCCACATACAATGAGACAATGAGAGCTAATGAAGTCAGAAAGCAGAAGGTGACCAAGGAGGCAGTTAGGTGTTGAAGAGGAACCCCCACAGGTGGGGAGGAGGAGGGGCAGAAGGAGGACTGGGGGGGGAGCGGGATGTCCTGGGGCTGGGTGAGTGGGTAAGGGGTGGGGAAGGACAGGGAAGGGGGAAGTAAAGCAGCAGTGAGGCAACCAGGCCAACAGAAACTTTCTGTGAGCTTACTGCTTGGTCAGCTTCCCAAGAAGAAAAAAGCACTGCAGGAAGGAGATGGGTCCCTTTGTTGTCTTGAGGGCTCCCCACATTGTTCTCTAAGACTTAATAGTTGATAGAGCAAGTCACATGACCAAAGTCTCAGAAACAATCCTTACTTGGATTTTTTCTCCTTAGCCTGATGTTGTGCTTCCTCAGGCCATGCAAATTCATGGCCAAACATTCAAATTTCTGTAATAAATCCTCTTCTTTCACATCAGTTATTATTAAAACGGTGCTTATACAAGTCAGGTTGTTGCTAGAACTGAAAAAGCAACTTGTTACTCTGAAAACATACTTTGCATTTGCAAATTGTGAGGGGAGGAGGATGTTTTAATTTCAATATAAAATACCTTTGGTTTTGCTCTTTCTTCTCTTGAAATCTGGCTTCACCAGAGTCTCCAACTACTCTTTCATTAACCGACCACCGAACATTCATCACAAATTGAGGGCCTTTCCCAAAGCAAGCAGAGCAAGTTATGTTTACTGTTCTTCCTGGATGAGAAATTAAAAAAAAAAAAATCATCAATGAAGTCAAATTCTGCAAATAGTATTTAATATGAGAAAAAGCTGTTGCATATCCAGGTTATGTCATGACTGATTTTTCAGTCTCCTTTTTCATTGTTGGCCCATTCATCTTCCTGTGCACTCACTGAAGAGGTAAATGATTCTGGTTTCAACAACCTCACATTAAAATAGAGTCTTTGTAGCTAAAATTAAACTTTACCTGACACTGCCATAATCACAGAACTGAAAACCTAAGCTTTGGGAGAGTAGGCCCATTAGGACTGACCTGTAACTCACTGTTCTTAGCATGTAAAACAAGTCCTCTCATGGCCTGGTCCTGGCCAGGCCCATCTGTAGACATTAACCTCAAGTCAAGTACCAGATCTCCAACTGACTCTTGTTACTCTGAGATACACATTTCATCTTTCTCCTGCTTTGCCCATGTTGCTCACCCTCCTCATCAGTCAATGCTAAGCCAGGCATCACCCCCTCTGTGAAGTCTCCCATACTGTCCTGTCTCCCTGAGACACGCTCCGCGTATCCAACAGATCAAATCCAGGGACACCATTTATGGTATAGCTTGGCGATCTTGCTCTGGGAAATAACTTCCCCCGAGTCCTCCCATTCTACTTAGTCAATCTTCTACCAGAACACGAGAATACCTTGTGTTTTGTTTATAGTTTCATCACCTCCCAAAAGACTCTGAGTTCATTATCCTTTTTCAGGTGTCTAATTGTTAACACAGCTGTGGGCGTGAGTTGTATGTTAATCCTAGTGGGGAGGGAGCAAGACGAAGATGGAATCAGAAAATCTGGGTTCTTGTCCTATCCTTGTTTAGCTAGGCACATCATCGATCTCATGTGAGCCTGTGTAGAGTGCTCTCAAGAATAAAGAGGGTGGCGCTATGGGTTAGAACGCAGCACTGCAAGCTAGCAGCCTCAGTGTGTGATCGATCCCTGACCTGGAAAGTGGCCCACCTGGCGCGGCAGACCTCTCCTGACCCGCCCGCTGCTCCCCTCAGCAGTGTACTTCATCCATCTGCCTGTTCTGCTCCCTGCTCTCTTTCTGGTAAATCCTCTCACCGCCCCTGTACCTCTGGCTTGTACCCCAGTTCTGTATGCAGAAATAAATAAATATTAAAAAACAAAAAAAGAATAAAGTGGGGGGACTAATATCCACCTTTTGTATGCAGTGAGAGAGAAGTAAGGGACCATGAGCTAAAAGTGTAATGCAGATTTAAACTCTGCACATGGCTGGGAGCTCACATCCCTAATTTCAGCAAAAGCCCAGGGCAAGTGTTTCCACACAGGGTATTTGATTGAATCCACAAGATCTGACCACCATAAGGAACCATATAGAAGAATTTTCCAGGTAGTGTTTACAGCATTCTTAAAGCTTCCTTACCAATGTCCACTTCCTGCGTTCCGTTTTGTGGAGGAGCTATAATTACTGGAAACAAAGAAAAGCCTTCTGGATCTGAAAACAAGAATAAAAAAATGAGTATAAATATTAGGAGCATATTGGATGGTTATCAGTACCAAACTTGTATTCTCAGACTTCTATCTTATAGCAGAATTTTTCAAAATTATCCTAATAATGACCTGTGGAAACAAATATACATAGACAGATGCACATGCAAGCAATACTCTCATAATCACCTATGTTGCACTTTGATATTTTCAACTTTCTGTTAAAGTTTTTAAAATGTGCTAATTCAACCCACTACACTGCTGGCAAGACCTAGCAATTTTTAGAAAAGTACAATTTCACAGGATAAACATGACAGTCTAAAGAAGATTTCAAAAGATCTATGAAAATAATAAACGTGTCAGTCCACAGTTCTCCTGCTTCCAGGTTTCTGCCATTGTTACCTATCCCATGGTGAAGCATTAAAAAACCCCAAACAAAATCTTTTTCCCAATATTATTTTGCCCTGAGACATCTGCTACACATATAGGTGTTACTTCATTATATCCACTTATCAATCCAGTGCAAACAATCCCCTACTCTTTATAGATTTAATATACGTGATTATGAAATCTGTGCCCTGTGTCTGGTAGAGAATATAAAGTAAACTTGGGAACAAATCTTTCAGAATTAAGTGGTCTATTTGAAGTCACAATGATGTTGAAAGCTTTGCAAACCAGGACTGCAGAGCTTCTCACTAAGCTGCTAATCATGTTAGTTATATCAGAAGTTAAATTAACTGTTTTTTTCTATTTACAGAATCTCTAACAACAAATTGGGGAAATGAAGGTTAATCTTGTTCGCCAAATAATTGTTTTGCCATTAAAAAGAAAATAAATCAGGATTCAGGTCATGTTATCTTTGAAAAATGAAGTCACAAAAGAGAGAGATAACAGATGTGGTTTTTGATTAGCAGAATAATCACCCTCTAAATTTTTTTAAATCTTGATAACAGGTTAAGAAAATCTTTCTGCGTCAAAGTGGAGACGGTACGAGATAAGATGAAGCAGAAAGAAATAGTGGAGGAGGATGAAATACAAGAAAATCAACCAGAGGTTTGATGCCTCCCATATCTTCCCTCAAATACTGTATTTTGTTGAATTCAGTAACTTACCTTTAACTATGAAGGGTCTGGTTGCTGTCACACTGTAATTAACTCCATTTTCATTATGTACAAATTTACATGTATAATCTCCTGCGTCCCTGCTGGTCACATCTTCAATCACCAGGTAAAATTCATGTGTGTGGTACCTTGATCCTCGAAGAGCTTTGCAATTCTGAAATAAAAATTCCCCCTCCATTATCAGGAATTCTTCACTGCCATCTATTTCATTTGTCATTTTCATCTATTCTCCCCAAATTTCCTTTTACCTTGAACCATTCAATGGGTGCTGTCTTCCAGTTGTAGTTGTTAATCGTAGGACAAGATATTCTGGAATTTTTTTCTGATCCAGATATTTCAACATACATCAGCTCATCTGGAATATGGCAATCTGGTTGTTTTTTATGTATGGTGATATTCATATATCTGGTTTTATTGGAGGTGCTTATGTTAAAATAAGCCAAACAATTTTAAAAAGTTATTTCACATTATAAAACAACTGCATCTAAATCTAATACTTACTTACTATTGTTCTTCTTATTAAAACAACTGAGATATAGTGGTTCTTATTTTAAAAAATCATTGAAATCTAGTTTGAAGTACTTAGGTAGCTTTAAGGTCTAACACAAGCCCTACGGTAACCTGAAAAATGACCCTCTCACCCTTTCTTTTTACACTACAATGCCAAGATTCCAAAGTAGTACAGATAATTATTTATTGAGTTTGCTATGTAACAGTCAAGATGGTAACATTACCTCATTTTATTCTCACAGCAATCCTTTGAAGTGATTTAGTTTTACAAATACTTTAAAGGTAAAGAAATTGACAGAGTAGTAGCTTGTCAGCATTACACAGCAACTAGTGACAGAGCATGAATTTGAAAGAGAAACTTGTCTGACCTCAGAAGCCAGCCCCTAACTGTGCACATCCTGCCTTCTGACGTAATTCAGCTGACACTTTGTGTGTACCAAATAGAGCCCAAAATCAAAACATTTAGCAGTGTATGGTAAAGTAATTTGTGGGCACAAGACCTGATGGAACCAATTTTAGTTTGCCTCTCTAGAGCCCTGGAAACTATTGTTTTGTACCCACTATCAACCTCTTGGACACGCAGCATTTCTCCACTGCTTCTCATACTTGTTCTTACTCCAGCCAAATGTGAGTAATTTTCCTTATTTTTCTTCACCACTAAAATTTTTTTTTTTCTAACTGGACCACAAACTAATCTCTGCAATCATATATACAACTAGTTAGTTCATAGTCACCTAAACTGAAAACTGGTGGTTTTCCTTCAAAATACTCCTTTGTTCAGGCCCTCCTTGGTGGCGCAGCGGGTTAAAGCACAGCACTGAGAAGCTAAAGCCACTTCCGCATGAGTTCGATTCCCGCCTGCCCGGGAGGTGACCACATGGCGTGGCGGACCTCTCCTTACCCGCCCGCTGCTCCACTCAGCAGTGTGCTTCGTCGATCTGCCTGTTCTGCTCCCCACTCTGTCTCTGGTGAAGCCTCTCACCTCCCCGAGCCTCTGGCCTGTACCCCAGTTCTGTATGCATAAATAAATAAATCTTTAAAAAAATAATACTCCTTTGTTCAAATCACTATATAAATCCAGCTGTTCCAGAAAAGTTAGAAGGAGAAGGAAAGTGAAGCCATTGCAGAAGATCAGCTATTAGGGAATAGGAGCAGGCCCGAAGATGATGGTGCCTTCCTGGATCATACCTTCTGACTACGCAAGCGTAAATTCCAGTGTCATTGACTTCTGATGGGAGAAACTTAAGATATTCCCCTGAGGCAAATATACGATTTGTTTTCTCAGTAGTGACCCTTCTATTGGTTTTTGAGTAATACCAATCCACGGGGTATTGAGATGCATCTTGGCTGGGACATTTCACGATTAAAGCCTCATTTTCCAGACCCCCATATGGCCCGACTGCAAATTAAAACAGGATAAATATGACCCTGAACTTGCATACAATAACATTATCACTGCTGGATTTAATTTAGAAATGGAGAATACTTTAACTAAGAAAGAAAAGCAAATGATAAAAATCTTTTGTGAAATGAGTAGCATAGATAAATGAATTCATTTGGAGATGAATCCTACAAAGCAACCATGTGTATTTACACAAATACATTGTCAGCCAACAAAAGCTTAAGATACCTCCTTCATTCATTCATCTTACCAAATTTTAATGCATTGGAATATATAAAACTAAAATTAGGCGACTTTTTATGAAAAATTTGTCTTGATAGATTTGTGGTGAAGAATAACTATAGCACATAACTGAATTTTCCTATTATAATTCAGTCAGAACAACTTGGAGCAAGCAATTTTAAACAAAAGAAATAGTTACTTAATTTATTTTTTTAATTTTTTTTTTTTAAATTTTTAGTTGAAGAGCAATACTTACAAAACAGAGCTGCTTTGGAATGATTAAGAACGATTAGAAATGCCAAGATCCAAAGTGTCATTTTCAGTTTATCAATCAGTTGGCAACTGATTGTTGAGATAACTCAAGCTGGATCCTTGACGTATGATGAAGATGCTCCCTAGGATTGAGAGAGATATGAACCCTGAAATTTATAGTTGGAAAGAGTTGTCAATGACTCTAGTGAAAAATAAATCATACAAAAGAACAAGTGGTAAGTTTAAAGTCATGATTTTTACTTACTCAGTACCTCCCAGGAAAATTGAGCAAACAACAGGTATTTACTATACAAAAATATCTGGAACAGGAAGGGCTAGATACAGTTCATTAATTGATTCCTACTAACGCTAAGGCCACGTAGGCCTCACAAAGATCATGTCTTGTGAATATGTACTAAGACAAGCAAAATACAGAGGACGCAGTGTTCCTGGTTTTGAAAAAAAAAGAAATCAAAACCAGAAAACTCAACAGACCCTAGAAAATACAATACTGTAAATGGTAAACCACAGACATCCACACAGACTGGCAACCACATGTGTGCAGATTTTACTCAGGCACCCCTGGAAATAGTTATCACAAAGTGCCGAGGAGAGTGATGGGTAAAGCACTAGTCAAATCACTGCCATAGATACTACACCACAGCCTCAAAATGGTCTCTGCTTACCTGTCCCCAGGAGTCAACAGACTTTCTAAGACCTATAAAACATAATAGATGTTACTTTTCTTTCAGCAAAAGAATCATTTAGCTATATGTATCTCTTTTCTTAAAAAGTCAGAAGAGGGATGGAACCAACATAGAAATGTGCAAAACCCCTGGTGGCCTAGGGGTGAAGTCTCAGTGTTATCTCTACTATACCTGCATTCAATCCCAGGCCAAGGAGCTACCCACATAGGGCACCGCAGACCTCTCGTATCTCACCCGCTGCTCCCCTTAGCAGTGTGTTTCAGTAAATCAGCCCATTCTGCTCCCCACTCTGCCTCTGGTGAATCCTCTCACCCTCTGAACCTCTGACCTACACTCCAGTCTTTCTATGCAAAAAAAAAAAAAAAGAAAAGAAAAGAAACAAATGGAAGGCTATAAGAATAAACATCATGATCCCTAATATATTTTAAGACAACATACTTCCTTGAAATATGCACATTTAATATATAAAATAATATGCATGAAAAATTTTTATTGTAACTCTAGAGAAATATTTGGTGCTTACCGAAATTGAAGGACAAAAGGGACTGCACTCCCAGCTTTTTAGCTCCTTCCTTGCTGTTTCCCTAAGTCTATACACACACTCTTTTTATATTAAAGGGGAGACACTCAAAGACATCCTGCAATGGAATACTCCACCCACCCTGAAATTTGATTTTTAGCCAAAATTCATGACTTGTGGAAAAGTGCTAGTGCATCATGTACCAAGAATCCTTGACCTTTGTACATAAATATTTAAACATAAGGACAACATCAAATAATTCCTGTAAAGGAAATAACCAAATGATCTCCTGTTTTAGCATCAGCTCCTCAAGCTGACATAACTTTGGTTGTAAATGATCTTGAAATCTTGGGACCTTGAGTCCACCTCCCAGATAGGTTTTTTGGCAGACACTGACTTTGTGGGCTCAGCCCATCTGGACAGCTTGGGGACACAGAGTTCCAAAAGCAAAAATAAGGAACAGCAATGGGAGGGAAGCAAGAGTTTGGGGGGGGGGGCAGAGGGTGCTGTACATGTTCTTTTATGATCCAGAACATGATGCAGTCCCATTCTAAAATAGATCCCCCCTTCATCAGAACTCAGTCCCTATAGCATGCTCAACTTGAATGAAAAAAAAAAAATGTTTTTTTTCTAAGAAGTTCAGAGAAATAAAGGAAGGCTGTAAATAAGAAGTCTACCCTGGGCCTCCCTGGTGGTGCAAGGGGTTAAAGCACAGCACTGTGAAGCTATCCACAGCCACTGCATCACGAGTGCCATCCTTGGACAAGGAGGTGACCAACCACATGGCATGGCAGACCTGTCCTGTCTCACCCACTGCTCCTTTCAGCAGTGTATTTTAGTCAATCTACCTGCTCTATTCCCTACTCTATCTCTGGTAGATCCTCTCACCCCCAGCATCTCTGGCCTACACCTCTTGCATGCATAAATAAATAAATCTTTTTTTTTTTTTTTTAAAAAAAAGAAGTCTAGCTAGGGGGAGTGACAAGGGAGATGATAGCCCCCAACTCTTTGACTCCTTGCAGAACAAATGTTAATTGCAAATTTAGATTCAGCTCTGCATACTTGGCATGACTTTATTGTGAACAAATGCAATTTACTTTTAAATGTCACAGCATCCCAAAAGAATTTAGGGAACTACTTCCAGACCAGCACAATAAAATAGTTATGATAGCTAAAACCATATCTACAACTCAGTCTATGCTACATGCAGTTTTACGGTACTTTTAAGTTACGTGTCTTAACAGCTTCATTCTTACAACTACTCAATAAGCCGGCACTACTCTTATTACCCCTACTTTGCAGATGAACACACTGAAGCACCGAAAGTTTAGGTAACTTGTCTAAGTCACAGACTCCTAAGAGATAGGGCTCGAATTTAAAACTAAGTAGGCTGGTTCCCAAAAAAAGATGCTGAATCTGAGAAACAGGTGAGGCAGGGTAAAAGGAGTTCTAAGTAGATTTTTGAATCCAGTTTGCAATAGCATCTTCACCCTTTTCACCCACCTGCCACCACCACCTCTAGTGTGGCTTGGAATATGTTGAGTAGGCCTCCCCATCTGCATGGGGCTTAGATGATGGACATAGGTCTTGTACTCTGAGAGAAGAGATATGAAGTGATTTCACCACTGGGAGTCACCCTGCAAAGTTTGTTATACATTAGAGAAACTAATTCTGTTCACTGTTGAGCCCGACTCAGTTGTCAAAGTTCTTATTATCAAGTTCAAACAGGTTTTGACACAAAACCATAGACTTGTGAGCAGAAGAGCTTGGATTAGTGCTGGGGGAGAGGGAGCAGCCAGGGGAGTCTTTGCAAATTCTAGATACCATTTTGTTAAATAAAATAGTCTTGAAAAGGTTTTATGTTTAGTATCCTAAGCATCTTTTTAAAAGCTTTTATTAAATGTAAGCATTTATTTGTTAAAATAGGCCATGTGAACATTGGTTTCTTTATTTAAAAAATAAGACTTCAGAGTTTTAACATAATCATGAAATCTTGCAAAAGCCTGTGATATAATCAAACTATTGTTAAATTCTTTCATTCATAGTATAATACTGTATAGTCCTTGTCATCAACATCATTCAACTTTTATAGATTAAAATAAAAACCCAAGGATGAGACTGGTTAAATAATTCAACCAAATTCACTGAGTTGCGGCTAAGGTTGACACCAAACTTGTTGAACCTCAAAGCAAGACATTTTTTTCTAAAATCAACTAAAAAGAAAGAGATTAGAATGGTAGTTTTCCTTCTTATACCTGTGACTGGTTTATTAAACAAAATTGTCTAAGTTTCCTTCTAGCTATTCTTCAAGGGACTGAATCATTTTGACTTCTAACTAGTACAATGGCATCATATCACATAGAAATACATCCATTTATAGAAACTTTAAAAGACCAAATATGAAAGACACGGCTACTACTTAACCAGTCAATTAATAAACACAGATTTTAAGCAAACATGAATTTGTGCTATAGCCCCCTTTTTTAAGATTTCTTAGAACTATGCTTCATTTTCAAAATTAGCCTAAAATTTGACTGTGATATCTTTTCCTGATTCGGTGCTTACAATTTTGAAATCCTGTATGCCCCTACTTACAACCATAATAATAATATGATTTACAATAATATCGTCATTTAAAAAACAAGAAACTAACATTTATTTGCAGGGTAACAGCCAGTGCTGTTCATAACACGGAAGACACCACACCAGATTTATTCTGATGTGATAGTCAATCCAAATACTCATCAACACAGCCCAGAGCTGGACATCTGTGTCCTGGTCTTATTGTAAGCCAGGTCAAAAGTCAGGACATATTTTTCACACTGAATTCACCAGAATGTAATTTAGTCACTTAATAATTCTCACTGGAATACGCCAAGGGAACTTTCCCCATTTCATCAGAGAGCATTTTAGATGCCACTTTCCTTCTATTTTTCCTGATGAAAATGTTTTCAGAGCATGTGGCAGCTGCGGGCAGCATCTGTGCGGTGTTAGGTGGTGTCTCCTGGGCCTCAAGAGAAGACCCTGAGCCCATTTCAACTTCTGTTCTATGCCAGAAAAAATACCTAACTTTTTGATTCTTTTTTGCCACTTCAAAGTTTCTTAACACTTTAGCTCCTTTTCTCCATCCTCCTCTTGGTCTCACCCAATTCTTCCTGAAAACTTAGAAGCAGCTGGTATATATTCAATGACAGGCTGGAATTAGCAGAGAATTTTTATCTCCAGGAATAAAGTCCTGCCCTCCTTTGCCCCTAAGAAAAGAAACTTTGGGCATAGTCTCATCACAGGGATAGCAGTTATCAAGCCAACCTGGCCATATCTGATTTGTGCTGTATTTCTCACATAGCTGCTACCAGTTACACCTGCAAATTACAGCCTCCCTGCAACTCCTCCCCACTTCCCCTGACACCTTTCATGTTGAGTCCGAGCTTCTCTCTCTGGATTTTAGCCATAGCTTGAATTTTCCTTCCTATTCCCACTTTGTAGATTATTCCTTAGAGAGGGGTAACAGAGACTCTGTTGAAAATATTTCATAAAACTATGAAGCCCAAGACAAATCTTATCCTCCCACATAACCTAGAGGAAAAGCCAACACACATTTAGCAGCTCTGAGGGCCCAATCATAAGTCACATATCACCTCTCTAACATATCTCTCCCACCTGTGTCCTCTTTGACCAGCCAAGGCAACTCCTACTCCCTGCTTGCTCTTCCCTCTGTTTGGATGGTTTCTCTTAACCATCCACAAAGCTAACTGTCTCACCTTCTTAAAATCAGTCTTCCAGTGGCATTTTTTCAAGGAGGATTAGCCTGATGACTTCATTTTATTTCAAGTAATTTTTTGCTTCTGATTTTTTTTGAAGTGAAATTTATGTCACATAATCATTTTAAAGTGACAATTCAGGAGTATTTAGTGCCTTCACAATATTGTACAGCAACTACCTCCCTGTAATTCTAAAATATTTTTATCACCCCAAATAAAACCCATTAGCACACCCTC